GTCGCCGGGGGCGACGCGGGCCGGTGCATACCAACCCAGCTTGACCCCGTCGCAAGATGCCGAGGACATGGACGTCACGGAGACGCCATCGTCCTCAGCATCGCCCAGCCGGGAGCCTGCCCGCGGACAGATCGGAGCAAGGCCGGCGAATGGCTGACCAGCCCTGAGCCTGCCCGCGAAGATGACGAGCAAGCAGCCCTTAGCCCGCGTGTCGACGACGCCCTAGAGCTGGGCTTCGTCGACGCGCCTTCTTCCGCGACCGCTTCCGGGCGTGGCAGCCCCTCCAACACCACGAAGCACTCGCGTGCCACGCCCGATGTCCCAGACCTGGATGGTCCAGGAACATCCACTACCCCGGTCTCTCCACCCCTGCACTCAGCGACGACCTGGCTACAACGCTTCCTATATTTTTTGTATGGTCCATGTTTTAGGGTTTACCAGCGCATCGTGCGCGGTGGGGCGGGCCGCTGGACGAGGACGGGTGTACCCTCAGGACGCCTGCCTAACGAAAGACAGGACCCCCTATCCCAGTTCCCCGTCCTATACGTCCCCCCCCCCCCCTGGGAATTCCGGACAGGAGGGACTTGCCCGTAGCAGGTGCAGGCTCCGACACCTGCACTTCATCGCGCACTACCCGGTCGGGGTCCCGAAGGGGCTGGCTCCTGATCCCGAGCGTCGCTACCTCCTCGGCAGCTCAAGCGCACATCAGCCCCCCCACGTCAGCGATCGAAAGCAAAGCCTACCCATGAGGGGAGCACTCCCAGAGGGCCACCGCCCGGGAACGACCTCTCCTCGTCCCTGTACAGCGGTTTTCACCCCTACTCAGTGTGAGCCTTACCGGCTTGGGAGGCCCTGCTAGAATCCGGAGATCCCGCCGACATCGCCTCACACATCACAGGAGCTACTTCCCGCCGCGTACCCCTCTCCCCGTTAGCGGCGCACAACTATGTGCGCCCTCAGGGTCCACCACGAGAAGGTGGGGAGAGAGAATTTTAGACCTGGGACATCCCTCAAATAGAGAGAATGGATCCACAGTGGGTCAGAGCCACCACTGTGGACACCCCAGATCCTCCGGACCTCCGCCTCCTCGGCCTGGCGAACCAAGGCAGGCTTATGAAGAGGTGTGGAAGCGGAGCTGCCACACCACTCTTCACGCGTAGCCGAAGACGCTTTGGGGGCCACGTGATCAACCCCCACAGCGCTGCAGTCGTCGGATGACGACATCCCGGGGCCTGCTTGCCCACATCTGACGGACGCCAGCACTGGGATTCTGAGTCCCTGTACAGTAACTTTCTCAGAACTATTAGACCCGTCCATGATAGGTTTTTGAATCGGGGTTTCCTCCCCTAGTGTTTGGTCCGCGGGAGCTATTTTATTTCACTCCTACCCTCCACGCATTCCGAAGAGTACGTGGCGAGCGTTTCCCCATCCCCCACCTGGGGACGCGCCGCGTCGGGGTATCACCTCCCCGCCCGACCTGGTCGCCCAGCCCAGGTGCGCGGAAAATAAGATAATTAAGGATGATATAACTAACTCTAGTTTTGTTCGTTTATCCTGTACGTCTGTATACAGACAGAGATGTAATGTAATCAATGAATCCATCTCTAAACATGGAATATTTCCCACACATTACAAAACACTATGTACATATATCGTACCTCTTTATTACGAATCATCTGCCTCGCACTATTTGGGGTAGTGAAGGATTTGTTCATGGTACTGAATTTACGAGTATTCCTTTTATTTGTATCTGATTTATTTATGTTTCTTGATTTTCGTATCGTGTCTCTTCGCTTTAATTCCGTGTAGACTGATGTGTCCAGATGTACCATTTCTCTAATTGCAATGTGCCCGATTAAGTGTAGAAATTTCGATAGCCAGTAAGATGGAATGTGTAGCGTCGTATTGTTATTATTGAATTTTCCTCGGTTATACACTTCTAATACTACGTGCTCCATTAAATGAGCAGGCTGATTTGCTAACTGATAAATGGCGTTAATAGCGTCTGTTACGACGACAGGTATCTTCTTTTGTGTTAGTAAAATTTTCTATTAGTAACGTAACGATTTCTTTAAACATTTCGTGATCATTGGTATACCTAATAGGTGACTTTTCAGTGTCGTCACCTTTCCTTTTTATCTTCATCAACGCTCTGCATGTATCTCTAGCTAGAAGAAGATCAGTTTTTGCTCGTGGCCCCAAGCTCACTTATATTAATACATCCAAATTTTCGGTTAAAATACCACCTTGAGCTTGAGCTATCATCGTTATCAGCATCAAAGCTGTTCTACTATCCAATGGATCTGTATCCGATGATTTCATTGAAAACTTTTCCCATAAAACCTGTAATTCTTCGCTGCCTACTTCATTATTACCGTACCACGTTAAAATAAGTTTATTCAAAGCTTGACTTTGACCAGTATTCAGTCCTTTCAATAATTCGATTAAAGCTTTAATACGCAAAAGGGCTTTTTGTCTGTCTGATACTTTTTCATTAGTACTCAAGTAAATGTCTTTGTATACTACAGCTACGTTATTGCGTACTGAAAGATCCTGGTGAAATACTTGGGATAAAGCATCGCGTATAGCGACTTCAGCCCCAGCTACACCAAACTGGTATGCTGTACCAAGTAAAGTACACGCTTCAATGGCATCGTCTGCTGTTGTAGAAAAAAGCAATTTCTTTGCCATCGGTATAACGATTTCCAATTCGTTTGCAAATACCAAACAGTTTCTCAAGTAATGTACAAGTCGTTTTCGCGATTCTACTTCCTGTTTTTCTTTATTCTTCGATTCCATAAACGTTTTCAATAAAAGTAAAAATAAAAATTCCTCTTTTGCTTGAGAAGAAAATTTGTTCATATCTGGGTTTTACTTCAATTTCATACAAGCCTTCCACAAATATGTCACCGCTACAAAAATCTCTCCTTTTAATATCAATTGTCTAACATTTTCAAATGCTGTATCAGGATTAAAGTTTTCTTTGTCGTCGTCATTTTCTTCCTCTTCCTCACTCTCATCACCTTTGTCCCGTTTTTTACTTTTTTCTTTTGTATCATTACTAATTTCTTTTAATGCTTTTCTTATTTCCGGAAGCAAAGTGTTCCACAGTTCTAATCTTTGACTATCACCGCGAGCACTTTTGCTAACCATTTTATTATTAGTATTTCTCAACTTCATTTCTTCCTTTTCTAACGACTTGGAAATTTCTTCTTCGTTTAACTTAGCAGCGAAAGGATTAGCTTGTAGTAAGATAAGTAATAATTGTAACGCATATTTACGTACGATGGCACTTTTATCATTTAAACGTAATGCTACGGCAGCTAAAAGCTTTCCTTGCCTTGCTAAAGGAATAGCTCCTACGCAACATAAAGTTTGCCAAACCTGTAAGACTTTAGATCTAACATATGCATGAACGTCTAAAATATGTTCCGATAAACTATTCAGACATTCATCGCGTTGATCTTTTTGTTCTTGCGTAAGATCGTCTCCGGTTAACGCTTTTTGCACGATTATTCCTATAACGCTAATCGCGCAATTTCTCAATGTATAATGCTCGCTATCCAAATAATCCATCACGTCGTCGAGAATAGGAATTATAAGATTTGGTTTAGTATTAGCAATAGTTTCAAGAAATATTGATATACGACTCTCGCTTTCGGATGGTTCGCTTTGATCTATTTCTTTTATTACTTCCTTCATTAAACCGTTACAACCGCATGTATCAATCATATGAATAACACCGTTTGCTATATGCGTTGCTAACGTATTGTGCAACTTCAACAACTGTAACATTAAATTACATACTTAGTGCATTTTTTTGCTAAAACCATATGAAATTTAGAATCATCGAATACATATACATATCTGGATAATTCTAATTCCATGCCATGATTGTATTTTTTAATCGAAATTCCTAAAATCTTTTTTGAAAAGAAAATGAACATATTGAATATAAAAATAATATAACGAAAAAATCAAATAAATTTGACCTCGAAAATAGTCTGTCGTACGTGTTTATCTTTTGAATCCCTACAATGTTCTAATATCTTATAGCACATTTTAGTGAGCAACCTACAATATGAAATTACAGTTAATATTTTAAATTTTAATTAACATGTATGCATTTATGCGACTAAAACTTACATAATAAACGCATCCTCGACAATGGGAGGATGCCAGAGTTTTTGCAATGGTAATTGGAGCAATTTATAACTGTATTCCAATGCTTTCTTCTTGGTAGTATTCCACTCTTCTTCTATATCTGATTTTGTATTTTTTTTTGACTCAATAATACACGTTACTTAATATAAAAGTATGAAACATCTACAGTACGATTACGTTATGTATGACGAACAAACCTTCTCGACATATTTACTGCTCGAGCTTTTAACAATTTCAGCATGTATATGCCAAATAAGTCCAGAAAATAAATATACTAGCATTTTAGTAATGTTGAAAAACCGTACGCTATCGTCGTCTTCTAGTCCATTTCCTCCTTCGAGTACGCCTTCCAAATCGTGAACCAACACTGTGATAGCTGTGCGCAACAGTAATTA